CAATATGCTGTGCGTATTTGTTCACTTGAACAGTCCTGAAGAGAAATTATTCTGGTCGTAACTGCCTGCAGACTTCAGTATTGTAGAGATTCACGAATTGATATGGAAGATTTCTTAGAAAGCTTGTAGCGGCATATGTGATCAGGTTTCTTTCAAAAAAGACGGTTAAATCTACCACAAAGTAGCAAATACTTTATTATAAAGTGAAGATGAACATAAATTCCATCTACTATATTCACTAAGACAAATATACCCTAGTTTCATGGTGGAAAAATGTTGTTATTCAGCTATAAATTCGATGATTAACCTCCTTTAAGACTGACACCTTTATGTCGCTGAATGATCCATGTTGACTGACTTGTATTTTACGTAATGATAGTTACCTAATTAAGTATAAAGATCTGTTGATATAATCTGAACTTGTTAATTTATTTTTAGGGCTTAAATTGACGTTGTTATTGTCATTACTGATTTCTTTACTACTTATACAAATATCAGTAGCTTGAAGCAGTGCATCAAAACACCACCCTATCTAAATGGTCATGAAGATAATATTAGAGTGATTTTGAGGAAATCCACACCTGACGTGGTCAGTAAAGAAAGCCCCTTATCAAAACCCTATTTGAATGTGGACATAACAGGTGGCATTTTAACAGGTCGAATCGAAAGATCTATTGAAAGGACATTTCCCACCGTCAGGTTGCATATAATCTCAGCCAAACCAGCACTTATTCAAGTCATCCGGATGAACTCCTGTACACCGAATCGAAGTACCCAGTAGAGGTATATTCAGCATCGATGTTTACGTTGGTCAACGACTGGATCACCAAACACCTGAACTGGATATTATAGACTTCTTATCGGAATTCTTTTAGTGTTTATATCTTTCTTAATCTACCCATCCATCTTTCCGAATTCACATTCATTCCCTTTTATCGTGATTACCTTGACCATACTCCTTTTATCACATATTTTAGCCATACAAAATTAGGTTTATCAGTAATATTATAATCATATCGATAAAAACTTGGCACCTTACTACAAATCATTTTGACCTTCAAGAAGTAACCAGGAAGCACTGGACGGTCGTACAGGATAACCAACAACAGCAACAAAGAACAACCCAATGAGAATGATTATAAAGTACTTCAACTTTTCTGATCTATCAAGTTACTAAGTGAAGTAGTGCAATAATTGATTATTATTATTATTATATTTTTAATCGATTATAAGTTTGACAATAATATTGATAAAAATACATGATTTAGCCATCGTTAATATGGATACATCGATTCATAATTATATTTGTATTGTTTTAATTATATTTGTGTGTGTACGTGTGTGTTTGAATTTCATGTTAATAACGATACTTCTTTGATCATATAAGAATAAGTTCATTTGGTATTGTTTAGCTTGTATCTTCCTGGATGCCATTACTAGTCACTATGCATCAGTGCTTACAAATAGCTTGTGAATTAAGGCAATATCGAGGCATACGCACAGTATGCACATATGCTAATAACAGACTGATCGATTGCAGTGTTAAACCTCAATGGGAAGATACAAGCGAAACAATGCTAAATGAATTTAAATCCACCCCGTTGCACAAGCAAGTGGCTGTCAGGACTCAGTAGCTGAGTGGATAACGCGATGGTGTTTGAAGCGAATGGTACTGGATTCGAGTCCCTGAGTGAACATCAACTCTCTGAGATGCAGGTACATTCAGCTGACGAGTCCCAAATAGGAAGAAACGCGCGTCCTGCATTCCACTGTTAGCCACTATCCATCATTGCTTACAAATAGCTTGTGAATTAAGGCAATATCGAGGCATACGTACAGTACTATTGGTCAGTAGCATAATATGTCTTTTATCGGATTGGACAAAATATGATGTTGATTTAACAAATGTTAATATCTATAAATACCCGTGTTTTTCTGTACAAAAATGAACCTTTGGAGTAAAGTGCTTTTCGCTTATTTTGCCCCTTCTCTCTCGAGTTCTGGTCGCTGCGTAGTTCTAGCTTGCGAGTTAACAGAATAGCTTAGGAACCGAATAAAGCATTCAAATTAACAAGACGTATCAGGGTGGCAATTATTAAATGTCTTCATAAGATGACTCAAGTCATATTTGTTGTCACAAACGATAAAGATATCATCTACGTATCTTTTATACAAGTGAATTTTTTCTACAGTCGCCTTGAGTTCATTGTTTTCCAAACTGGTCATGAAGCAATCTGCAAGTAATGAACCCAGAGGGGATCCCATTGCTATGCCGTCCTTCCGTCTACAAATTACGTCGTTGAGCCCAAAATATCAACGAGATAATCCAAACAATTTTAAAATCAATAACGGTAATGCGTTTCAAATATCATAGACATAGTCTACATAAAAAGAAGTGTTCATATTTTAAATTTTTCGGAACTATCATGAAACAATTAGTAAACGTCTAAAATGTAGTAGCCCACATAAATAGTTATGTTGCCACATTCCATATAAGGACAACAGCACGGGATTCACATAATCATAATTAAAATGAAATAAACAAAAAAAAAGCAGCGAAATAAAATCATAACTGAAGATCTTTCAGATCAAGATCATCAACTGTTAAGATCTATATGTTCTTTCAGTGATTATTCTTAACCCTCTATTATATAAGTCACCTGAGCAAGATGTCTTGTTTACAATATCCAAATGTTATATCAATGATCTTCACATATCTTCAAACTATACATTAAACAAGGTAGATTTCAGTTGAATACAACTTTTCTTTAAATAAACATCACCATTGTATCTCACACTATTCAATTTAATAGTCTCTTCCAGAAAAAGTGTTTTTGATGGGACGACCTTTGAGCAACACCAAACTGACCATGACAGTAACTACACACTTAATAGGGCTAAATGAAGGTTATACAACAGTTTAAAGGATAAAGACAATGATATACAGTTGACAGTAAAGATTAGGATTTAGATTTATGGTTTTCATCATGGACTAACATCAGCTGAAGTGACAAAATTCTATTTAGCTAAATGGATGAATGAATTTTGCGCCAAAATCCGACACCAGTTATCTTAATTCTGATTGACTCGTTCATAAATTATAGTTCCGCCAAATTTTTTTTATTCCCACTATGTATTAACAAACAATTTCCAGATTCTTTTAGTTGTTTCAGCCAGAAAACAAACAAACAAACAAACTGCTTGATCAACCTTATTTCAATGAAATAATGATGACATTACGTCTGGCAATTCTTTTCTGTTAAACAATTTCACATCGAAATCAATATAGTTATCATTGAATGTTTTAGGTCAAGTGCCATGGAACACGAAATATAGGAATGAGCTTTTGTTTATTGTAGTTTAATTAAAATATCCTTGATCAATTTTCAACCTTAAAGGTCATAATTGAATGGATCGTTTTAATAGAAGAAATAAATAAACAAACAAACAAACATTGAATCGATAAACATTTACATTTATGAATTCATAAGTTGATTAAAGCTAGATCACTATGGAAAACCAGGAAGCAGTGGATAGCCATTTCGTTAGAGTGTGGGACTTGTCAGCAGTTCGCAACCATGATCCCAATCACGGGAACGGAACCCGAAAATTTCCATCTCGTGCGCGAACGCTTAACCTCTAGACCACTGAGTTGGCGTTCAATGGTGTAAATGTCTAACTTCAATCAATCGACGAAATTACGCCACCATCCACTATTTGTTGAAGTTAGACATTAACATCATTAGATTCCGGGTCAGTAGTACAGAGGTTAAGCGTTCGCACACGAGTCCCTTTCTTTTATCTCTTTCCAAATTTATTTTACTGGATTATACTGCTTGAATAACATCTTCAAACCCTAATTTTTCTGATTACAGTTTATAATTTTACTACATCTAGAACTACGGGATTTAAATCGACCACTGCACCTCTGTGCTAATGTAATGTAGTATGGCTACTCGAACTGAAGCACTTACGTACGAAATTCTACGCTGTTACTGACTGACTGACTGAATTTTTCATCTTCAGAGATTACTTTTGAGGTACTTGAGAACTTGTAATTATGGTTTCATTAGAGTTACTACTAAAAGTTTTATTATTTATCAACTGTTTCACGAGATGCGAATATGGTTTTAATGCAAACTAATGTTTACGAAATGGTCACTTGTGTATGAACAACTGAAAGCGTTTACAATGCATATCACAGAGGAATGATTATTTAGGATGAGGTTTAAAATGCAACAGTTTTCAAATCTGGTTCAGAGTGTACCGTACTTATAAAGTAATTGTACTCGAATAGATAGAGGTACATAGAAATCCTATATTTGAGTCAATCAACTTTCCTTCTTGTCTATTTAATACTTCATGTTGTAAATAACCAAACCGCGGAAATTCATCCTAAATTTTCTAACTACTAACAATAGTTTGTAAGTAATATTATTTCGTCGCATAAAATTGAGCAGTTCAGGAAAACCAGTGGATTTTTGATTGAGATCATGAACCGATTGATATTAGACCACCTTTGGAAACCTGGAGGCACTGGACAGCCATTTCGTCCTATTGTGAAACTTCTCAGCAGTGCGCATCCACGATCCCGCTCGCGGGATTCGAACCCAGGGCCTTCGGTCTCGCGCGCTATTATGTATGAATCAATAACTGTACAAGAATGTCTAATATTAATTAGCCTCTTTCAATCAAGACGAACACAATTAAACAAACTAAACTGATTTCTATAAAATCCCTTCAACTAAATTGAAAAAAAATATTATTTTCATGATTTATTTATGTTGTACATATAGCTTTTAGTGACTGCAGACTACATTGCTTATACATCATGTGAAGTGTTTAATTGTCAGCCTAAGTGTCGTGGTATGTGCAAATGCGAACTAGTTACCACAATTATTATACTAAAACCCTATTTCTAATATACTACAGAATGTTTTGTTCAATTTAGATATAGGTAGACAAATATAAATGATTGATATGAAACAAATCACTTAAATAATAAAAGATCAGTGTATATATCATAAAAAACCCGACCAATTCACAGTTATATCACTTGGATATTGATGATAGTGAGTTATATGTTTCCTTCAAATGTAAGAAAAAAGGTAATGAAACCAAACTTCAAAACTAGAAGAGACAACAAAAACTTGTTTTCATTTTGTAATCATGATCCATGATTGTTTGGCTTTCATTATTGGTGTTTAGTCAGAATTATTTGAGCTTAAACGTTTCTTCACAGCATCCTGTTGATAAGCTAATAGCATACCACGAAGTCTAGAACCACGTCGGGAAGGAGCATGTTGTCTACGTGCTGATGTGATTGTTGATATACGTTGACTATGAGATTTTGATTCATCATTTGATGATTTTGAGATTGATGCAGTATGTAACAGATTAGTTAGTACTGAATTAATGTGTTCCTAGAGAAAGAAAAAAAAACTAAGACATCACAAAAAAAGAAACAATTTTATGGCATAAAACACATTGGCGTAACTTAACTGGCATCCTTTTTTGTGTAAAATAATTCGAAATCAATAAATTCTCAAAACAAAACATCAGTTCTCTTATCAATCAATATCCTATATAACCTAATATGCAATAAATTAAAGCAATCATAAGCTTTTAGTGTTAGCAAAGCTAAACTTGGTGTACAGTTAATTGACCAATACTAACTGAATTCGATCAGCATTAAAAAGGTAGAAAAACATGATGTTGTTTATCACTTAATGGTTAATTCACTGTAAACATCTCAGTTCTATTAGTCAGTCGTGAGTCGAATAGCTCAGTGATACAGTGTCAAACCACGAAGATAGATAACACAAGTACGAATCCGACAGATACTATTAGTCCCCCTAGATAGGAGGTACCTTTACTCGACAATCTGGAAATGGGTTCAGGGTTTCCATCTGACAATTTCCAAACATTTAACATAAATTCGATATGATTATTCCTTGAAATATTTTTAGGATGTTGGGAGTTTTTTTTGTGAATTTAATCAGAAAACTGTAGGCACAAGTCAAACCCACAAATATTGTGTGATGAACAGTTAGAATGGCATACAAATGGACAGTCTCTTGTGGACATGAACTGTCAAAAACCAATAAGGTCACAGAAAGACAAGGAAGGCTAAGGAACACATTACGTCGGGAAATAGAATCAGATATGAAAAAGACGAATAACAATTGGAAAGAGCTGGAAAGGATTGCCTAGGACAGGGTTTGATGGAGAGTGCTGGTGGGCGCCCTACGCTTCTCTATGAGGAGTAACAGGTGTAAGTAACCGATAGAAAATAACGGGAAGTAGTCGATAAAGGGTTCAATAGTCAATGACCAAATTAAAAGAGACCCCTCCTCAAATAATTAGATAGTCCGCCAGTCAGTCAGGAACAACGTAGAACTTCGTACGTAAGTACATCAGTTCGAGTAGATATACTACATTACATTAGCACAGAGATACAGTGGTCGATTCAAATCCCGTAGTGCTAGATGTAGTAAAATTATAAGCTGTAATCAGAAAATTTACGGTTTGAAGATGTTATTCAAGCAGTATAATCCAGTAAAATAAATTTGGAAAGAGATAAAAGAAAGGGACATGAAGAATTCAGAAGATTAGAATTTAGGAGAACAGAACGAGTGGATGCACCTGCGCCTTTGCAAACGATTTTGACCCATGTCATTCAGAGTCTAACCATCGGTTGCTATCATCTCACGGATCCCAACCAGGTAGACTACACCTACCAATATGACTAAGTCTACTTGTCAGTGACTTCATGAATTTGTGCCATGTTTTGGTCTGACCGTCCCTAGCTTTCTTCCAATCTACTCTTATACAACAAAACATGGCACATCGAGGCAGTCGGTGGTTGGGCATACGTAACACATGTCCCAGCTATCTCAACTGATGAAGTTTCACTACGTCATCAATTGATTTGCCATCCTTACCTAGTACGCGTTTCTTAACAACTGCATTACTTAGTTGATGGTCCCAGGATATACGAGTGATGTTTCGAAGACACCTATGATCAAATACTAGTAACCTATGGATATCCTCTACTCTTACCAGCCATATTTCACAGTCATAAAATAGGACGGAACGAACTGCTGCGCAGCAAACACGTCCTTTGGTTGATAGACGGATATCTCGCCTATGCTATGAATGACGCAAGTTGGTAAAAGCTAGTTGACCCTTCTGTATCCGTGCTGAGATTTCGTCACACACCAGACCATAAGGGCTGATGAGACTCACAAGACAAGTGAGGCGGTCGATATGCTCAATTACTTCACTCCCTATCATTAGTTCAGGTGTCGATGCAACCCAATCCTGAAGCAACATTTTGCATTTCGAGGGGGAGAATCGCATCCCGAACGTGCTTGTATTGTTTCTTAGAGTGGTCAGAAGACTCTGCATTTCGTCAGCATCTTCAGCAAATAAAACTATGTCATCGGAGAATTAATTAGAACGATTTATCTACCCATATATATATATATTCAAATTTACAACAATCATAATCATAATCCTTACTTTGAAAGCAGTTGCTGTTCTATCAATACTAGCTTCTAATTCAGAAGATAAACAAAAATTCGATTGTAATTGATTATTGATTTTTGTTTGGTTGATATCATTTTGTTTATTGATATCTATAGGCTTTCTCATTAAATGACAATTAGTTTCAGCTAATATTATTAAATCATGTAAATGTTTAGCACAGAATTCTAATGATTCATTGAATAAATCTGTAATTTTATCATTCTTATCACCATCAGTTGTGATCAAGTCCTATGAAGCAAAAAACAAAACAAAAAATTTTATTTACAATAAATTAAATACAGAATAAATTAAGAGTTATTTTACGGTTAGAGATAAACTGTACGTTGTCAAGACATTTATGCTTCTTCACTAGGGGTAACAGGCGTAAGTAAGTATGAATTCTGCTATGTTGTGATTTTTCTTCCATCACAACTGACTGCGCTACATTTGACACGTCCATATCATGATTGAATGGTATTTTTGTTGTTATAGGAAGCTTTACATTATTCATATAAGCCAGCAAAAATGTTAGAAAATGAAACATGCTCTCTATCATAGATTACGACAGTGTAAATAATAATTCCTGATTTATTTTGGTTGGTTGTCAGGTACATGATCAAAAGTGAGAACGAGAGTGGACTTTAACCTAAGAAGGACTTGACACAAATGACATTGATCACTACCCAGTGATCAATCAATTGTGATTACATCTCAGTCCTACAAGAGGTCGATCGCCGCCGATAGGTCATTGGTGACGTCTCTGACTGTGAAGCTGGGTGACACGAGATCGAATCCGTCAGGGAGCATCAGTTCCCTCAAGAATACAGGTACACCTTGCTGACGAGTGCCAAGTAGCACGTGACCTGGGTCCAGGGTTTCCTATCGACTACCTCCAACCACCATCTAATCTCAACCTCGTTTATGTGATAGCGATAATAAAAAGCCGAATACGGGTTAAGTTGAAGTTATTTCAGTCACTCATTTATCCAAACAGACATTCAGAATAAGCGGGAAAACGAAGAGAAACGGTTAAGGTGAGTGAGCCAACTCGTGTTGATAAAGATTTCTAGCTGAACAAAAATAAGTAAAAGACTTGATGAATAGGGTAGACGATACACGAATATGCGCTCATAATAGAAACAGTCAAAGTTAATAAGCGAATAATTGACAAGGTCAAGGTGTGACCCCAGGAAGCTGGAATGACTTGTCTGGGCTTGACATAATACTAGAGACCATAAACTAACCAATTGAACAATACTCGTATTTATCAGGCCTCCAATATTAAATCATAAGCTTTAATAAATATAACAAAATAATGTCACGAATAAATTCACCGACTAAATATAATTATTTAAGAGAAAGTACAAAAATTGTTGTACATCGATGAACATGTTGGGTGTTTGAAGTAAGAAAAAGTTGAGTACAAGTTTCAACGTGAATATGAACACAAAGATGCAGATACATTCAGCTGACAAGTGGCAAATAGGATAAAACAGATGATTTAGATTTCATTAGTAGCTACAATCCAACTATTCGAAATAACTTATGATAAAATGACAAAAGTAAGGCAATTCACAGAAGGTGAACTTATGTCAACTAAGATCGATCAAAATCCAGTCAACAATACAAATAATGAGATAATTCAAGTTGATTCCAATTCTGAGTTTACAAAAGTGGGATGTAGCTAACAGTGGAATTCATGACATGTGTTTTGTGCTATACGGGACTCATCAATTAGATGTAACTGCATCGCATAGTTATTGCTCACTCTGGGACTCGAAGCTAGGACTTAAGGCATTAAACTTACTGTATATTCCAAGAGCTTCAGCAACTGGTCTCAGTAGCCCAGTAGATAAAGTGTTGGGTGTTTTGAGGTGAATCGTATTGGGTTCGATTTCCAAAGTAAACACCAACACTGAGATATAGACACACATAGCTGATAAGTATCAAGTAAGATGAAATCAATCTTATCTGCATTTATTACTATCTAATTTCCCTCGTTACGATTGACACTACTATCATTTCGACTGTTTTACTATTCATCCCATCAATACACATACATACAAGATTAAATAGTTCGAAAAAAAGAGCTCAACGAGGATACCTTCCATGGAATTTTTTTATTATTCAGTAGATATTTTCAAGTTAAAATTTTATTGATTGTTATTGACAATTGAACTCGACAAAATATTAGCAATTACGACTTTCTTACACCACAACAGATGTGAACGAGGATACTGCGCAGCAGTTCATTCTGTTCTACTTTACGGCTACCAAACGTGGTCGTTAAGAGTAGAAGATACTCGTATTTGATTACAGGTGTCGTAGAAATATTGCTCGCATCTTCTGGGATCGCCGGGTAAGTAATAGTGAGATTAGATGCATGGTATTAGAGAATGATGGTAAATCAGTTGGTGAGGTTGAAAATCTTCATTGACTGAGATAGTTAGGCCATGTGCCTGAACATCGATTACCACGACGTGCTATGCTGACCAGTGTTGGAGACGGATGGGAAAAAGTTAGGGGTGGCCAAACCAATACGTGGCATCAATCTGTAAAGCCACTAACTTTTAGTCTGAGCCATGTTGATAGATGCAGACTACTTGGTTGGGTCCGCGTGACTTTCGTAACCAATGGTTGAAGACTCTTGGTGACATGGCTCAGAATCGATCACAATGGTGTAGGTGAATACACTCTCTGTATTCTCTTAAACCGTGGGATTAAAATTGCTTTATATCTTTCTTTCTACCAACTAATCCTTACACACAATCTTTCTATGATATATTACTACCATTTCAGTGACTGCTCCTACGAATTCGGTGTTCATTTTGTTGTGCTAATGAGGTATGGCAAATTGGACCCATACATATATATGTCTGGTCCTACGTTGAAGCTAACTAACTGACTATCCTATGACACCACAATCAGACTCGTATGAATTAACATAGTAATTCATCAACATTTGAATAAACAGTGTGACGAAGATTGGGTACGCCAACTATACCAGAAGATATTAGGTGAAAGAATCTATTTTCGATTATTTTAATTTAAACTATTTCCTTGAAGAAGCTAAAACTAATTCACTGTGTGAAACACTGAAATAAGTTCAAAAGTTTCAAATATGACTTATATAGAAGGGGTTTTGTGGAGATTTTTCTAAAATAGAAATTTCAATAGTTGAAATCATGAGTCAATTGCAGCTAGACCACCGTTGGATGCCGGATCATTGTTCTAATGGTTAAGCGCTCGCGCGCGAGACCGATAAGTCCTGGGTTCGAATCTCGCGGGTAGCGGGATAGTGGATGCCCACTGCTGAGGAGTCCCATACTAGGACGAAACGGCCGTCTAGTGCTTCCAGTTTTTCAATGTTGGTTTAGCTCCAATCGACTAATGATTTCAACTATTAAAATGATTTATATACTTAATGTCGTATTTGTATTTGTTCAAAAAAATTCTAAAAGTGAAACTCAAAAAATCGACTAACCAACTCTTTTTCAGCTGGAAGGCTGATATCACTTAATGCAATTGATGTGTCTAATCGATTAACCGATGTAGGTGGACCCCATTCATCCATAATTTCTAATTCAGTTAAGTCAACATCACTAATAGGTGTATTAGCCTGTAATGAATTATGAACCAAACGGACTAAATTTTCATTATGATCACAATTTGTTTCAGAGATCGATTTCACTTTCTCCTGAACAGCAACAATATCTTTTTCATCAACAACATCATTATCAGTTAAGTCATGATCTTCTTCAGTATCAGACAATACTTCACCTTCGGAACAACTTGCATCAGATGGTGTTCGACTATGACGTAAACGAAGTGATCGATTTGTATGTTTTCGTGTAAATCCACTACTACTCACTTTACTACTATTAGAATGTGATTTCGTTGATTTATTGAAATGCTGTATTGTTTTATTGTGCTTTTCTTGGTCAGTATTAATTCGATTATTCTCTTCTGTTTCTTTCTCTTCTATTTCATCTTCTTCAGTTTGAATAATCTCAGAATCTGATTCCATTGAAACATCGTTATTCAATTGACCTTCAGAATTTGTCTCTCTGTATAGAAATGATATTAGAAGAAAATTCAACAAGAAATTAATACTAGTTAGAAGAGTATTGCAGCGGGACTCTAATTTATAGACGACCCTTGAACGAATCTTAAGTGACTTTGAGAAATATTAGCCAATCAGCAAACAGTCAGTATAGAGTAAAAATATATTATACAAAACCAAGGAAATAAAGTGGATACACTTCTTAGACGTGGTTCAAAAACTTGTCAAGGTTTGAAAGAGGTTCAGAGGTTCTAAAATCGTAATGCATGCAGTAGAGGAGATCACCCATATGGCTACAGTATAGTCGGCCTCTGGAGCCATGATAAAGTCTGAAAAACTATTTCAACCTCGACCACACAGCTTAAATATTGTCTTTGTGAACTCCAGTTGTTGAGTACACAAAATGCCACTTGTGGATAACGACACGATGCACTCTTACGACACTCTTACTCTTACACATAACCAAGACTATGTAAGAGTTTGTACGCTCTCCAAACATCCGTATATATTGTACTACCTGGCTGCAGCCAGTGTTACTGGTGCTTTTATTATCCAGTTCGCAATAATTGTCGTAATTTGCCCTAGTTAGGAATTATATATGGGGTTTGCATCACGAACTGACATCAGCTATAATGCCAAATAGATGAAAGACTTTCGCGCCAAAATCCGAGATCTGTTATCTTATACCTGATTGATTCGTCCACAAATTATAATCTCGCCGTTTTATTTGTTATAGCCGCTCAAATATCATGTTTTGTACAAAATTCCCTGTGAACCGATCGTACGTTAGCATTAAGCACTGAAGTTGGTGCCGTAACCTTGGAATCTCCAAAGCGCTTCTGATTGGCTCGTCCATAAATTAGAGTCTCGCCGAGTATTCTTATCGAAACTTTATTAACCACAAGTTAAGTTCATAGATATTTATAACTTTTATTCTGTTTACTCTATATCTGACAAGATATTTACATTTGATATTATGAAGATTAAGAAACGAATCTGTAATTTAATGACTGAAAGTTGAACAACTTAACCATTTAACTTTTACTCCAATAACATAATGAAATATGTATATTCTTTGTAAAGACCAAATCAAAAGAGAGACCTACATTAGTTTCTCAACATTTCCATTATCCATTGTAGATTGAATTAATTTCATCTTTTCTTTTATATTTAATGATTTTACATAACTGGAAGTAGGTTGTCGTATATTGTTGATAGATTGCAGTTCCATTGTTTGTTCTTTTGAACGATTTGATGAAGATCGTTGTTTTTGTTTATTCCAATTAAAATGATCAAATCGATCAAGTGAAGCTTGGACTATAGCAGGACTTAGTTGAGCTAATAACCTACATTTAAATGAAGTGAAAATAACAGTTCATTCCAATACAAATAAAACAATATAGTTTGTATTGAATTTAATTGATCTACACAATCGTTGGAAATTCGGAAGCATTAGATAAATGTTTTGACATTAAAAGGAACGAGCCGGATTTTAAGTGAAGTGATCTCGAGTGTTGTTAGGAGAGGATAGTTGTTGTTTCCCAGTTACTCTAAATGTGAAAGATACTTCCCCTTCAGAATCCTCAAAAAGAAAATTGGGTTGGGAATGATATTGGAGTGTGACCGCAGAGACCAACAAAGCAGCTGAGACTGGAAATATAAACGAGGTCTTTTTGTGTAGAGTCCTTGATGTGTTGACTCTGTACTATAAGGGCTAAAACGCCGACGCCGGAATCTATGGGGGTAACGTGAAGTGTGCTATTTTTAGAGTAAACCTTTTCTTATCACTTCCTTCCGTAGTAAGAAGGCAGCATCAATATAAATAATGGTTTTTTAAAGGAAACACCGTACTATCACTACACCCCTATGCGAACAACAGTACGACTTCATCCTCAGACCATAAGTTTACTGCTTTTACTCTTAACGATCTTCAACCAGCTTGTTTGGATTGATAGAACCTGACAGGAGTTTTCCAGCCAATATAGTTCGACTGGGTTATGATGACATGTAAGCCTTACCAAATGAAGATAGCAGTAACGGTTGGGTGATATGGGAATCTATCGTAGTAACTCTTGCTCCTTTAACTTAGCAACAATTGCTATGTTATTCGCATTACAACACAAAATTTGATTGGTAACCAAACACTGTGACTAATAATAATGATACTACAGAAGAAAATAAAACGATATAAACTACACCCGAGATTTAATCAGGTAACTTACTTTACCCCAGTAATGTCATCATCATCGGAACTAGACTCAGATCTATCCGATAAGTCATAACTTCCATTCATAGGATCATCATTCATGACTGAATTATTTTGTTTAAATTCATATGTATTTTCTTCAGTGATCTCATTGAAATGACAATAAAATCCGTGAATAGCTAAAATTACTTGTGCACGTAAATTTTCTCGGCGTTTTGCAGCATCATCGGCACATTTTACGATTGAAATACCTTTAAAAGGACATTTTTAGAAATTGAAAACCGGATGTAGAAAGTGAAAACAATGAAATATATTATATTTAGTCTTATTTACAGAAAATAAGTCTGTATGACAAGAAATTTTAACGTCGATTAAGTTACTGTATTAAAAGTGTATAGGTGATTGAAAATCTCTGGTCGTCCATACAGTAGGAAACTTCCAATTAAAAGATCTGAAAAGAAAAAACTGGATTAGCATCACAGGTCATGTCAATTTATGAGCGTGGTTGCAGAGCTAAGGGGACGACAGTCCGAGGCTGGTCGAGTACGAACCTTTTGTAAGTGATTTTCGTGTTAACTGAGTTGTGAAACCTTACCACCGGAAGTGGAAGGTCGTGGGTCCACGCGAAGTGTTTTTACTTAATGTTAGCGGGATATAGATTGAATTAAACCATGTTCCGTGATGTATTGCGCTAGGAGACGTTGGCGTTTTATTAACCAATCAGCTCTAGAAGATACTTGGAGAAGAATTTAGAATCTTCTTACAAAAAAATTATGAATATGCTGACGTTTTTCGTATTGTGATTCCTAATTCTGTCCGCTCTTGGTATTTGGAACATAATTACGTTCCAGTTCAACTGTGTTTTGATTTAGATACTTGTCGATTGAAGTAGTGTCCGAGAATACTAAGCAATGAGTATCTAGGTCGTAACAAGAGAAGTCATAATGCTTAGGGACGAAGCTTTTAATCTCTCTTTTAATTTTTGAGAGTGCAGCATCACTGGAGATGCTGGTTATTGCTGAGAAACATATTACTTCTGCCATACCCCAGTAATGTCGATGATAACCTACCATTTTAATTTAATTTTACAATCTATAGTTTGATGGCCCTCCGACCAACCTACATCCTAAGGTATTATTTTATTTATTTATTTGAACACATGAATACTGGTACGAGGAGGCACCAGTTACATATGCGCCGCACAAATATCATTTGATTTGTGTGAGGGCTGTGATACTGTACGGGTGCCCAAACCGAAGCACGTGGTTTTCTTATAGGGCCACAACCAGAGCCTTCGACCTGAAGGTCTGATCGACAAGGCAGTGGAGCATCGTAAGGAAATGCAGTCCCATCTTACCCAGAGACCAACGATTGGTTCATACGCCATTTGTTCCTTCAGGATCCTGGAGCATATGTGCACTATTGGTTTGGAATTAGGGTTGCCCAACTCCCCTAGGTGGACTCTCCGAGTCCACTAACCCGATTAAAGCGCCGGACATTCGCTTTTCGCCCTCTCAATTCCGTAAACAACATCCCCACCACGAGAAGGCAGTGGGTAGGACTTCCTTGGCAGAGTCTATATACGCGTGGCCATGTGAGATCAGTTCGAGAGGGAGAGCGAACTGCCCCCACCCTCGGCCGTACCAGGGCATTTCGGGGCCACCCTAAGAGAAAACCCCCAAAGAATATATATTCTGGACAATACAGCTTGAACAGGTTTTCATAACGAGCAAGCCCAAACTCTAAGTTAACGTTAATAGAAAACCTTAAACTTTCAAAGTAAGATGATACGTAGAATATGCAAACAATCAGGTTATAATTGTCAGCAATAACCAATCAAATTTAATCTCAACAGAACCTGGTATTGACTTGTGGAGACATTTTACTTTTTAAGGTCAACACTGATTGAGCCTGAAAAGGAAATGAGTTTCATGGTTAAACCATTCAGTTTAAAGAACACGACTTGATAAAACAGTTGTAGTTGTCAAAATATAACAATTCAATTCAATATTTCCCAGTCACTAAATCACTCTTAGCATTACTGTATAAGTGTGTGCCAAAGTCTATCTTAAGAATCTGAAAAAGATACACAAGAACGTGAAAAGAATAGCACGGATTCATTCTATTTCGTTAAGCTCTCATTAGGTACTTCTTACAACCTGTGATACCAACTAACAGAAACGTCTAGGAAGGTTTGTACGAGAACTATCTGTGATAAGTTTATCTTAAAGTATTGCATTATGATGAACACAATAAAACAACGATTAGCCAAAAATGTCAACTGTTTATTCTAAAATCGTCTTCTGGACGTACCTGGAATAAGATGTGAAATTGGGAGAAGAAGATCCGTTATTTGGTCAGCCAACCTTTCAAATACAACCGCGAGTTTCGATTGGATAATGGGTTTTTCAAACGAAGCAAAGGTACTGTCTGTGAAGTAAATTAGTTGGTTGAAAAATGAAGTACAAATAATGAAAGAAGTTGATACTAAATTTTTATATGGAAACGACCATACTGCTAAAATCTGTTTATGAAAAGTCAGCATGTAGAAACGGTAGAAGCAACGAGAGATACATAGCATGGTACAGTCAGTTATGGCAAACAAAGAACCTGCAACATACGTATGTTGACCTAAGTTCCCGAAGCACATAAATAACTGAAACTTTATCAATGTGGCGACCGATGTCAATTAGATGAGCAAAGAATCAGCTTCCTTTGTTGAAGAACAAGATTTCTTTAAGGGAAACGATATAATCTTGAGGTTTGGTGTCATATTTCAAGGCATAAATGAAATCAGTAAACAATAACAAAGTTCATTTCACGATACTGGATTCTGTAGTTTAGACGTATCTTTAATAAAAGGCACTGAATGATCCCATTGCCAAACCTTGGTTTTAAAAGCCATCGGGAAAATCCAAGGTAAACATCAGCATGTACGAGGTGAAGCCAAATGGTAAATTGTACTCGTTCAAACACTAAAAACTGGGGCATGGTAACTAACCATGGCAACCACGTTATATCCTATCCAAGAATAAGTAAATGGTAACTGCTAGGGATTATTTGTGGACTGTTATTATATATATATATTCTTGTTGTACAAATATCAAGTAACTAGATTATACGTATTTATATCCCTTATTATAAGCTTTCATTTGACCTATTGGCTACCATTGTAACAGTTACTATTCTAAAGTTATTGCAATCTATTAGTTAGTCTCTCACATTCACAGTCACATTCAGCTTGATCTTATATAAATGTTACTTTCTATTTGATGATGTGATGTGGTCTAGTTTACTCGTGAATAAACTGCGTATGTCTGAATTGCATGATTCATAGAGCACAAGCTGATATTGTGTTCTGGACTCAACAAGTAGGACTATGCGAGAAGCTACTATATAGATGACCAATAAGGGTACAGAGTTGACTCAAGGCTGCTCGTGATGGTTAACCCATCATTGGTACAGCACAGGGCCAAGGTCACATAAGTTAATGTTCTGATTGGCGATCTTGTCACGTGATAATTAACGGGTTATAGGGAATAACAAAATACACAAAAGATCAATGTGTACCAATTACTGAGACGTAAGCTGTCAGTCAGCTACAACGTAAGACTAGGCATATATATGGTGTCTGAGTCAATAAACACCTATTTTTAACATGATTTTGTAAATCTTGATTTGTCTGGATAAGAATAGACAGGTTTTAAGGAGCCCGTTAACGACGTGAAATTGGAAAACAGAAGTTAGTTCAGGTTCCTACACATGTTATTAAGAGAGACATGCACAAACTCAACAGGAAATACAGTTCAAATGAGATGTATTAGTAAAATATTTTGTCTGAATGTTTTTCGGATATAGAATGCAAATAGCAACCTACTGTAGGTTTTAGAGGCAAATTATGCGATATACGAATAAAAATTTGCAATGTATACCTGAAGGAAGTGTAATAATTACAGGCTTTTCTGTAAATACTTTCCCTGTCGCACGTAATCTTATTTTCGTTAGGTCATGTCGCAGACTGACGAGTAGAGGATGACGTTGACTCTGTTCTTTAGATGACTTAGATAGACGTACCAAACGTGACAACTTTTGACATAAACGCAAACGATTTTTTCTAAGATCTGAACACATTTGAAGGTCATTAAAGTTGGCTCCGGACTGCTCACGTGCCCAAGCATAAACACTACCTAAAATGAAGTCAGTGAGAGGAAAAATGCGGTTGAAAATATAGAAAAAAGATATTCATAAACAAGAGACTAATAAAAAGTGCCTTGGTGTCGCTGCCTACAGCGAGGAGGAGGGAGTAGTCCTGAAGACTCCGAGAGGAGTCATTAGTTGGAGCGGTCTGGTCCCAATAAGAGACGTTATATGGAGTAATCTGGCGAGGCGGCGTTGAGTGTAGCAGTTTCAGTAGACGGGAAGGAGACGTAGAACTTATTGGGTGTTGAATGGTTATCAGACTTAGATGACCCAGCAGATCGACAGAACTAAGGTTCGGCATAACGGCGAGCATAACAACTGAGAGAGAGACTTCTTAAAGGGATGAAGAGTATGGTGTGCAGTTCATATGTGGACAGATACAAGTAGTATGTAGCAGGAGTACGAATTAGAATTCTAATCAGCAGAAGAGTGAGTTGAAGAGAACAGGAAGAAAAAAGGGGAGCAGTCGGAATGACAACAGGACCAGCAGAATGGAGTACGTAAAGGACAACTGAAGGAAGATATGCAAATAATGTATTTAATGTATGGTTTCCATATTTCACAAAGGCACTGTGTGACTTTGCAAAAAACGGTAAATTGGTTTTCCCCACCAAGTCTTCGTTCACTAAACAAGTACTTTAATAATTCGTATATCATCATATAAAGAAACTGGGCTGTGTTGCTAATCAAAGCTAGCAAATTCGAAGCTACCAAATATATTCAAATTCTGGAAGTAAAGATTCGATAAACTAGGGTCGAGAGTTGATCATTTTATTGTTTCTGAACTCGAATTTAGGATTTCGTTCTTATGAATGGCGAAATTTTAAATGCTAAAATTGTGTAACTCATTACTTTGCTGATTTTTAATATTTTTGTTTCGTTTCTTTCCATTATCAGATTAATAATGTATACATTAACTCTTAGATTTAACACCAAGATAAAGGCCAATAAACGTTAGATTTTAACTAACGAACATTGGTCACAACCTTCAACTTCACTGAATTCATAGGAAATTGAAAATGAAGCTGATTTAATCTCAAAAACCTGTGATGGAATACTTGAAGCTGAGGAAACCACGAAGGGTTTTCTCCTAACACGTATAAGTTAAATGAAAATTCCCACTGAAACGTTTGGTAAAGAACGAATGGAGTGAAATGTTTCTCTACAATTATGTCGAAATTCATTCTACCTAATGTGGTTAAACCAGATATTCAAGACTACTAACACAACGAAGTGACACTGAATAAATTAGCAGGTACTAAACAAATGTTAAATTTATAAACTTCGATTCAAAACTAACCAACCGACAGTCTGATAATATTCCGATGTGTAGTATTTCTTATTAAATTCAATGATTAGCTAGGTAAGCTGAAACAAGTTTCAGATACCAGCTAATCTAATGTAAGTACCAACTCACCTAGCTTAATGGATGAGAGAGGATTTCTCAATTTTGAAACATGTGCAGAGTACTGGTTACACATATCGGTAACTGTTTTCTCAAAATCCCGTATAATGGACGTTATCCTTAAATTGGCACTATCTGGACGGCTATAGGTATGTGAAACAACTTAACAAACAATAATTAATAGTCTCGAGAAAATTTTTACCTTGATCAAGCTCACATGAAAGCTTCTTAACAGCTTTAGAAACTATATTTTTTGAATGAAGGTCTACTGAATAAACCCCAGCTACCAATAGAAATATAAAATGCTTAATGAAAACTTACATGTTATTCTGACTTTTGATTTACCCCCACCAAACGCAGTCACGCTATTAAAATTCTTCTTCGATTCAACACTATGAATCTGACGTTCGATATAAGACTGCAACTCATCCACAACATCCACATCCGAAAACTCATTACAACCCATGGGACCTCTATGATGTCGACTCGAATTAACCTTGAAATCGACCTTAAGCCTTAAAGATCACACTAGTACCAAGGCTCAATTAAAGTGTTCAATGGAAGAAACATTTTTATCGCTAATCTGATGTGGGATATTTACGAAGCCACAAGAAAACAGAACAATGCTCTGAATAGTTAGCTAACGGAATGTCACGATATCGTAAAGTCTAGGGTGGTGTTCTAATTATGTGCTCAGTGTCTTCAAATATTGTTCAACCAAAACAACATGTACTTTCTCATTATATCTCTATAAAATCAGAGAACGTCTGAGGACCAGACTCTAACAGGTTGCTTCTGGTGTACTACAAAAAGTTATTCATAGATATGCTCTCTACATAATATTTAAGATTGTAGCGGTAAATACTGATACATTAACGCACGTTTAAATGTGTAATATTTTCTTTCAATAGATAGGATCATGAGTAAATTGAAGTTAGACTATCATGGAAAACCTGAAAACACTGGAAACCGTTCCGTTCCACCGTGGGACTTCTCAGCAGTGAACATTCACGATCCCGCCTCTCGAGATTCGAACCAAGGACATATCATTCTTACGCGCAAGCGCTCAACCTGTAAACCACTGAGCCGGCCGGCATCAAACGGTGTTAACGCCTAACTTCAACTAATCCGTGAAATCGATCGGAACATCCATCATTGTCCTCAGTGAGTTGCTTTCTCACAACATACCCGAGTGAACTTCTCTGGTCACTGCTTCTCACTAGAACTCTAAAAAATACCTCTTGAAGCCAGTCAGTAGTGGGCACATGATTGCTAACAGTGGAGGGTTGTGTTTAGAAAGTTGTTGTCCACTGTCACTTTTATATTATGGTAATTTTAATAGTTGACATCATGAGTCAATCGAAGCTAAACCATCACTGTTGAAATTTTTATAATATCCAGAAAAAACCCCTTCTGATATTAATAATTTCTTACCTGGATAGGGGTTTTCCACTACTAATATGTATGAAGACAAAAATTTCTTACAAAATAACGGAATTCGAAAATAGATTTCACCTTATTCTCTTGAAAGAAGCATATGTATAATTTGAGTTTAAAGTGATATATCTGCGACGTATTTAAACTATATATATATATATATAGTTCTGTTTTCTGCTAATTTCATGGACTTAAATGGTTCAAATGGTTGTGGACGGAATAGAAGAAGCTTTCGCTTAACAGGCTTCCGTGTCTAGTAGCAGGGGATCACCAAATCCTCCAGGCAGGAACCTAGGTATGTTAACAATAAAACACGAAAAGAAATTGGTAAATCATAGTGTGATGCTGTCCTTGGTTCTTAAGAATAGGTCAAGTTGCCTCTTGAAGGACTCCTGAGAAGTCGCTTGGACTAGCTCGGCCGGCAGCGAATCCCAGCTTTTGACAACTCTTAAGGAGTAGAAGTTGTGTCTACATTCCGTCTTGCTATATTGTGTTTCCAGTTTCTGGGTGTTACCCCTTAGGTTATTATTCGAACTAAGCTTAAGTAGGTGTTTAAGAGGATGTCCAGAAGTGTTAAGAATACTATAAGCCATTAATAAATCACCTCTAAGACGCCTATACTCTAATGGGTAAAGGTCTAGTGAACGGAGGCGTTCTTCGTAAGGCTTAGATTTGAGTCCTCGAACTGATTTCGTGGCTCGCCGTTGGATACGCTCCAAAGTGACCTTGTCCTTTTGGAGTGAGGGGGGAGTACTATGTTTCCGTACTCTAAATGGGGACGGATAGAACTATGGAAGATTATATGGAAAGTTCGTCCGTCAAACTGTCCAAAAATGCGCCTCGACGTTACCAGTGCAAGGTTTGCTCGGAAGGCATTTTTGTCACAGTTAGCGTAAGACTTCAAACCATGGGGCACAAGGACTCCTAAATCTTTTTCGACTTGGGATACCACTAGAGAGGAGTTTCTAAAGTTGCAACTGTGGTTTGCGACATGTCGCAGATGGACTACTTTACACTTTGAAGTGTTAAAGGTAAGTCCGTTATCGTCTGCCCAACTTTGAAGTCGAGTCAGATCCTCCTGAAGTGCCTGTATATCGTCTTGGTTGCGTATCTCTCTCCAAAGTTTCACGTCGTCGGCAAAAAGTAATAAGTCTGACGTTACCTGTTGAGGAAGATCATTTATGTAGATCAAGAAGAGAAGAGGCCCTAGTACTGAGCCCTGGGGGACCCCACTAGGACATTCCATAGCCTGAGATAAAGTGAAATTAACCCTGACCTTAAAAGGTCGATTTTGCAGGTATGCAGTAAGCCAATCGATTAGAGGTGGTTTGATACCTAGTCGTTTGAGCTTATTGATAAGACACAATTGGTTAACCTTATCAAAAGCTTTTGAGAAATCAAGGTAAATTATATCAACCTTTCCCTTCCGATCGAGGATGCTTTTCCATCTGTCCACCGCAGTCAGCAGGTTGGTTAAACAAGAGTAACCCTTCCTGAAACCATGCTGTTGGGGTGAGAAGAAATTGAAGGACAGTAGATAGTCGTTTAAACCGTCGCATATCAGGGACTCCATGAGTTTTGAAGGTAATGACAGAAGAGCCACCGGCCGATAACTTGAAGGTTCATTGCGTCGACCTCCTTTGAAAATTGATGTGATGTGAGCCAACTTCCAATTTTCCGGTAATTTACCTCGGCTTAACGAGTGTGAAAACATCACGCTAAGCGGCGTTGCCAGGATTGAGGCTGCCTCCCTCAGTATGGCAGGATGAACCATATCCGGGCCAGGAGAAGTATCTAGTCTCAAGTGCTGCAATTTACGGAACACCAGGTCAGCGCTTAGGTTCACTTTGGAGAGTCCTGTGGAATTGCAGACGAAACTGTCGTCAGTAAAGTTGATGTTAGCCGGTCGAAATGTTTGAGAGTACTGTGCCGCCAGAAGGTTAGCGGCGCCGCCATCGTTGTTGGTCGGGCCGTTAAGACCTAGCAGTTGAGAAACTCCTGTTTTGGCTTGACGAAGAGAGGCGGTATAACGGAATAGGCTTCTAGGGTTACAGGCAAATTTGACTATAAGCTTTGTCTGGTACTGAAGCCTGTCTTCTTATAGCCTTCGTGCAAGTGTTCCTGATATGTTTATATTGCCTATACGCTCCGTCGTTATCAGTTCATTTGTATTCCGCCCGACAGTGCCTTTTGTGGCTTAGCAGGCGAAGGGTGCGGTTCTTGATTACTGTAGGTGGCTTGCAGCTTTCGGGTACCGTTTGAGGAACTGAATGGTTTGTAGCACATAAGAGCGTGTGAAGTAAGAAGTCCCAATGACCGTCCACATCGAGTTGAGGGTGAACATCCCAAACCACCTGTTGTAAATAGTCATGTAGAGCTCGCACATTCAGCCGTTTAAAATTCCAACGCAAATTATTGTTGGGATACCTTAGCTTAGTTTAGACGACAAAACTGAAGGCTATGACGGCATGATCGCTCTTTCCCAGAGGAGCCAGGATTGAGAGGTTGTCAACTAGGAATTCTTCGTTTGTGAATACACAGTCTAAGCGCGATGGTGTCTGACTATTTCTCCAACGAGTTGCCGACCTCACATTTTCATATAAGCCCAAGTCATCTATGAGGTTGAAGAACCGAGCTTCAATTGAGTTGTCGCCTCCAGTGTACGTGTGTTCCGCGAAGTTGACTCTAGGGAGATTAAAGTCCCCTAGAATCAGGATGTGTGTGAAACCGAGACGGTCGGAGCAGGATAGTCCTTCCAGCATACGACTATGGTACTCGGTGTCGGCAGTTGGCTTCCTGTAAATGACTGCAACTAGACACCTCGAAGTACTAGACAATCTAACAGAGTACCATATGGATTCCTCAAGCTTGTCAAACTCAAGGTTGTGAACTTGGTGCACCTCCAAGCAAGAGCTTATGTATATGGCTACTCCACCCCCAATTCCTGTTTTTCTGTCGTTGCGGAACAAAGTCATCCCAGGTAATGCTAACTCTTGGTCCGAGAACTGAGATGTCCAGATTTCAGATATTCCTATCAGATGGGCCTTATTAGCATTGCTAAGTTCACGTAATTCATCCAGTTTGTTTGGTAGACTCGCGGCGTTCATATATAAGCAGTTTATGCTTTCAATTTGGAACGCGTGAGCTTCGTTCCGTTTTTCTGTATGAGCCTTATGTGAATGGACAGGAAGCTCACCTATATGAGGTTCGCCGAGGTGATAGGCCCTGTCCTTTACACGTTTTTTTATCATTTAGACAGTCCACAAGTGGAATGGTCAGCTCCAACTTGCCTTTGTGCTTGACCCTAGCTTTGTATGGCCTATCCGGGTGCATGTGGATTCCAGGTGGCAATCGACGTCTGTTGGCACGAAATGCTTCCAGAACTGCAGCCGCCATGTGGGAAGATGGGAAGGTTATCTTCATTAGACGACGTCTAGTATCACCGTCCTTCTTGGCTAGTCTCATCACATGCTGAGTCAGTATGTGTTTGAGCCTCAAGGACTATTTGATGAATTTCCATTCCCTGATGTCAGAATTTGATTGAGTAGGGTCTGCATTTTCCGGTATACCTTGCACAATTATGTTTCTTCCGCGGAAGAACTTCTCGCGAGATTCTTTAGGGATGTTCCGTATGATATTGCGCTCAGAGTACGGTATGTCGGGCAATATTCTTACGTTACCATCTGATTTCAGTAAGTGACTTGCTAGCAAGACGTCCTCTACGTTGGTAGCATTTTTAAGTGTTACTCGGTGAAGCCTGGGATGATTTAGATGCTTAGAATCCTTTCCTCGAGTGTGCCGGGTGACCATCAAGGGCTCTATTCTAGAAAGTTCGAGCTTCTTGTTCAATTCACCCCAGAGCATCCTGTCGTTTTTGTCCTGCAGACTGAGAGGAAGGTCAGGATTGTCGACGAGGTTCATGATAATGAGAGAATCGTCACGAACTGTTGTTAATTTACCAGGTTTCACGATGGGTTCACGTTTAATAACTTGTTGTTTGGAGGTCAGTGTGCGTTTTTGAGTCTTGGGCTCTTTTTTGACCGGATGAACAGACTTGGGGGTAGACTG